GTGGAAGGGAGACAAACACAAAAACAAACACACAGACAGGAGCCCTGACAACAGGCACCTGCCTGCCCAGAAGACATGATTACATGTGAAATATACAAACTGTGCCTGAGAAAAATGCATCTCTATATTCATCTGAAAAGAAAAAGTGGAGCTGATTTCACAAAATTGTAATTTAAGGGGTCAGTGTGTGAATGCCAAAAAGGTGTTTTTGCTGTTGAGAAATTATTTTATGGTCCATCAAAACCTATACATGTCATAAAAACACCTGGCCACAATTTCACAGATCAGAATGGGAGCTTGACAGGTGTAATGGGAATGCCTAGTTTGCCAAGCGAAGTGGGATTTTGCCTTTTGAGTGCGAACACATTCAAGAGTCAGAAGGACCCGTCTGAGGCCCCGTCCACACGAAGACGAGCCCTGGCCTAAACGCACAAATTTTTCACCAAACCAGCCTCTCATCCACACGAAGCCGGCGTTTCGGGGGTCTGTAAACGATCTTTTTTTTATTCAGCCTTCAGAGTGGGAAGATTTCGAAACGCCGTTTTCGCGTTTCCATCTTTACACTCTAACCGCATATTTTTTTTTACACGCATGCGTCATAGCGTCGCCTCTAAACACGCATGCGCGACCAGTATCACAACAACAATGGCGCCGTTGCTGCTAATGCTACTCACCCTGCTGTCGGGCTTACAACAGAATCTTCTTCTTCTGGAATATCTCCAGGAAGAACAGAGCAATATCGACGACATAGTTCAGCACCTGAATTTGACTTAACCACGAAAATGGACCCGCAGGGCAACCATGTATAAATATTAGTGCGCATGCCCAACATTTCGTCGCTTATTTTTGCTTTGGCACCACAGCGCCACTTACAGGCCTAGCATACATTTTGCAGCGTTTTCATGCATTCGTGTGGTCGATCACATTTATTTTACGTCTCCGTCTTTACGGCAAACGTTTTGGAAAATATCAGCGTTTCGTGTTCATTTTGACTTCGTGTGGACGGGGCCTGAAACTACCCTCAACATCCTGGTTGTCAGCTTATGGTTCAGTCTTCAAAAGAAAAGAAGATCTTTTAAAAAACTCAGCAGGAGGTGCTATCAATTAATACACCGTTTTCAGTTCTTCTTTTTTGAAGTGGGACAGACAACATTTGCCTTCTGACTTGTGCATTCATCCGTTTTCATAATGTGTTCTTTCAATGTTATCTAAATTTTTGAATGTTCCTTTTGTTGTAGCTCAGTTGCTTTACATTATTTAGTTTTGTTTCCAGACAAAGTTACATTGGGGCTGTAATATGTTGAAGAAAGAGAGTAGAACCAATAAAGTAGTTGTATATATATTATAACCGCATTTTTTAACAATTGGATAAACTTGTTTTAATTATTTTAAATACAAGCAAAGTTAATAATTTGAATATTTTATTTGTGTAAATGCAATTGTTCCTATACTTTTTTAACAATACCTGGAATCAATAGAAATTTTCTTTACAAACCTGGCATAAGTAAGCTAAGTTGTTTATGCTTTAACAGTCAGAATCAACTATTTGTTTTGTTTTTTTTGTAATGAAGGAAGCACATAAAGAAACATAGTGTTCGGTCACAAAGTCATAATACAAACATAAGATTGAATATATGCTGAGCGAAGGTGGAGACCTGGTGGAGGTGATTGAAGCTAAGGTCAGGAGGAGTTGCACACATCAAGCTGGACTTTATGAAGGGGGGAGGAGATGGGACTGCCACCATTAGGCTGGGATGGAGGCGCATGAACAGGTGATTGGCTGAGCAGGTGAGATGAAGACAGTTATAGTTGGAATTTAAGCATTGGTTTAATTTATGTATCCAGTGACTTTATTCCAAAAGCTTTTCTTATAGAAAACAAAATTAATAAATCATCCATAGCAGACCTTTCTCTCTGGCGGTTACCAGCGCCGAAGTTTCTTTCTTATAAATAAACTTTCTAAAACATACTTCCTCTCTGTTTGAGCCTTTTCAGGTTGGAGCTACATTTAAAGTCTTAAATGAATCACTTTGGGTTTTTGCCACAATTGGATATTTAATGTCTTTGGAGCGCAGTTTATGAATCGATTGCAATATTGTAGAACTGATATGGAATTTCTAAATGGAATAGTGGGACACCAATCAGTTTATTGGTTAAGCCGGAGTCCTTATAAGAAACATTTAAAAGGAAGCATTATGGTAAACAATGCTAATAGTTGAGGCAGGTTACCTGCAACCAAACATGTAGTTTCCGGAAGGCACTTGTTAGAAGTTCAGAAGTCCTTTGGTTTGTTTGTAAATTGTAATCACAATGTGAATAATAAGAAAAATGTTTGGTAAATAAACAGAACAAAAGTGCAATGTTAATGGACGTACCAATTTGGCCAAAATTGTTGCCTAACTGTATTACTGACCAAACCTCTTTTCCATCTAGTCCTTAATAAATAAGGCAAAGGCCATTATATTTTAGATTTTAACTTATCTATTGCCATTCACAATGTCTGGATCTATAATCCAAACTTCAGCATGTTGTGCCATATGCCATGATCATACTTTTTGGACATTGGGAACCAGTGTCCATATTTCATCTTGATAGTATGACCAGAGAAGAAAACGCAGCTTAAGTGAATAACAGCTGGGGGACTTCTGCAGTCCCCCCCTTTTTCAGCCAAAACAGTCACATGGAAGCCACCAGAGGTGTGAAAAACCTACCCCCCTCTGTGTGAAGACAGAACAAAACCACAGAGCACACAGGATTCTGTCTATTGTGCCTCCTTTTGCTCCTGGCCTCTTCTGCTCCTGCACTCAAAGCTGGGGCCCAATGTGGCTGGATCTCCACCACAGTGGAGATGCGGACCCCAGGGGAACCAGATCCCCAGAACCATCAAGGATAAGTCAGAACCTTTCAGAACCGAACTGCTGCAAACAGACTTTTTGCAACGCATTTCTCTTGAGTTTCAGAACTTTTAGAGCCAAACTGGATGAGGACCATGCCCTGGGTGTAACACTGAGGGGACCCCTGCTGTGAGACCCAGACAAAGGAACCCCTGACTGCAGAGCTGCAAAACTGGATGAAACTCAAGCTTTCCAAATGGACATGGAAAAAGGTTTGCAGGTCTGGCATGATTAGGGACAGAACAAGCAATATGTCTTTTGATGATGCTAATCATATCGTCTGTGTACTGCTGAGTAAAGACAACGCTAATTGATGCTAAAGAATGGACTGCATGCTACGCTATGCTACAGGAATATGTGTTGAGCTGTTGCTAAAGCTTACACAAGCTTTATTCACTAAGGATTTAAACACTGACGTAACATTAGTGTTCATATGTTCCTCAAATGCTCATTACATTTCCATTAGCAAGTATGACCAAGAGTCATTTAGTGGAATCCTGATGTCTATTCGCTGCTAGCTAAAGAGGGTAAAGAATCATTTAACTAAAGGTTATTGGTTCTTGATTATGCAAATCATTTAATAAAACATTATTTGGCCAAATAATGTTTTATTCACCTCATGGATTTGCATTGTGAATTGGTCTGAAAACATTCCAATTTCTTTAAAATTAGTGAAAAGCTAATTTGATCATATCCCAAATTATTCCAGATAAACTTTGGTTTCAAACACAGAATCCATCTTAAACTGTAATATGATTTTTCAACCGTTTCCCCCTTCCTCTTTGTACATAGTAGTTAGTTTAGTTTAGTTGAGTATTACTAGTCTTAGTTGAGAGTGTTAAACTGAAATATGTTGACTTGGAGCTGAATGATTTTTGTTAATAAACTCTTATATTTTGAACAGAAGTTGTGGTGAATTTATTCCATCTATGTGCAGAATTAACTGTTTGACCATGATTAGTGCTCGAATCACTCTTTCATCTGTTGTTCTAACACACAGTTAGTAGGACTGTGTGTCATAATCAGTATATAACAGCTGAAATAATATCTGATTAAATAAGATGTTTTACCACTTCTACTGGGGAGGGCAATAAACATCTTAAAGTATCAGAAACATAAATTCCCAGCGGGTTGGGAATTGAATTTGACATAAAATCACAACAAGCACAAGCAAGTATTTGGTTATATCTGTTTTCTTAATCTGCGATCAACAGCCGATCTTTCAATGTTCACCACAGCAGCCCTCATGACCCCACTATAAGCGTGCGTGCATGATAATTAATGGATGGATATATGTGTTCTTAATTTAATGTACATTTGTCTCCAACGTATTTATTTAATTTATGTTTTAGGACTTTTGTTTGGGATGATAGGGTGTAAGGATAGATAAATACATCTCCATAATGGTTCCTTCTTGTTGCTTATTTGAGATTCTTTGTTGTAAAATAGTGTCATATAAATATCTGAAAACAATAAAGATTTAATAAAGGTAAAAAAAAAAAAAGGGACATAACATGTGACAAAACACATTTTGTAGCCATTTCTTTACTGTTTAATTTGTATTTTTAATGATGAAAGGGTTCTTGGCTGATACAGGAAATAGTGTCACTAGTAGTCTTGTACCGATAGCTATACCAGTATCGGCCAGGGCCCAGATCCAGCACTAAAATGGTGGTATCGGTTTAAGCGAGTACCAACAAATAGGGCACCGATACCATTTTGAGATCCAAAAGTTTATTCAATTATTGTCACTCATTCCAGGTAGGCAATAAACAGTTCTACTGGATTCACTTTGTATTGGTGTTTTTCCTACTTCACAAAAGGGGAGTGTTACAATTTTGTCGCCTTACAAGTAAAACCATGTTAGTATTTTAATGAATAAAGAAAGGAGATTTCTGTGGGAATAAACAGGTATTTCTTTCCTGGAATAAAAAAACAACAACATTTGATTAATTCAGAAACACAAAAGATGAACAAACCTGATCAAAGCCAGAAAATGGAAAGTAAACTATTAATTGCTGCTCTTTTAAGAACAACCTTTGGTTTAGAGGATATTGTATTTTTTTGTGTGTCTTTCAGAGGAAACTGAAGAATCTGTCTATCAAAATGTAGAAGGAAGTCCTAAGAAGAACATAAGAGCTACCCCAGGTAGAACATTGGTGGAGTATCATAGTCTTGATGATAATCATTAAGCTTCTGGTATCTATGTCAAAGTTAAACTTCAAATTTGAATCCGAAAATTCGAAAAGAATCAAAAGTAAGATAGAAGGGATTCATCATTTGAATGATTTCAGCTGCAAAGGAGGAAGGAACTATTTATGATGAAACAAGGCAGCGAAAAGAACCAACTCAACAGACTGCTGGCCCTAAATGTTTGCCGTAAAACAATTTGATTTTTTTTAACAACAAAATGATGTTACATTGGAATCCAAAACTCCATTCCTCAATACCAGACCCCCTAAAGTTTTAAATGTGTCTCTGCAAACATCAGTATGAAGTCGCTTTTGCCGAACACCAGGCATTGAGGTGACGCCCACAGCTCGACCTTCAGCTGTTGTCATAACATGAATCTGACTTTTTATTTCTAATTGTACAGTTTAACATTCATCCATTACTGTCTCAGTTTAATATTTGTTAAACTGTTTCAGACATAATCAGGGTTCAGCAGATACTAATTGCTGTGACCTTTTAAATATTTTTAACAGTATTCTGCTAGAACTGTGCTGCATAATCTTACATATTTACACATTTTTAGAACCATTTGACAACAGATTTAAACAAAAGAGCATGACAACCTTCATATAAAAAAACCTCTATATGTTTCATTAAATTCATGCACTAATTACTGAATTACATTCATAGGTTTAGCTCAATCAGCTGTGCAGTGAAGCAGCGATTAGAGCACACATCCTGGGTTTGAATCCCAATCGTGGGTGTTCTTGTAGAAAGACTGCATGCTGTCCTTAATGCATAAACAGATTCTCTTTGGCTTCTTCCAACTGTCCACAAACATAACCGTTGGGCAGTGGTGTCAAACGTACACACATTTCTTACATAAGTAGAAGTATAAATACTGCAGTTTAAAAACACTCACAGCATAGCATAGACAATTCACGTTTGCAGTTTGAAGAACACCTGCTTGCTTCTGATGATTTCCTTTAGCTAACCAATGAGTGTTTGCGTTACATGACTCCAATCCAATTACACTAGTTTTCACTAGATGTTGATGGCGCCAATGATCTGCATTGAATGGCGCACATGACGTAAAATAAATATTTATAAACATTAAACTGAAGCCAAGAGCAACGAGTAACGTTTGTTTTAAAAATGTAAGGAATAATTAAATAATCATTCAATTGATTACTTACAGGGCCGGATCTATCAAAGGTTTGCGTGTATAAAAACGTGAGCTATTTCACTGCGCACGCTAAAAAATGTACAAACTGATCTATCAACAGCGTGCTAAAAGGATTTGGTCTTTAAAACGTGCTAAATAGCGCCTCTTATCCATTTAGTACTTTTTCAGCTATGAATATGCAATATGGGGCGTTTACACGCAAAAGTGCGTCTTGTGGGAGGAGAACATGTAAATATATTAATTTAGCACTCGCAAAGTGATTTATTAAACCTGAAAGCAATTTTGCTAACGGTATCTGACTCTATATTTAACACGTTTCAAAAGAAGGTGCAAATGGTCTGTATGCGTAATTGCGCACACATGGCAGCGGTTATTGTCGCAAGAAGGAGACATCGAAATGAAGCAAGGAGACGCAGAGAACGCATTTTTTCACTCCGTGTGAATATTTTTGGAATGAACGAGGAAACGATCATTAAAACATATCGTTTATCCAGCATTGCCATTTTGGAGCTGCAATTCCAGTGATTTGCTCCTCACAGAGCATCAGCTGTACTTGTTCCTCAATGCTGGTCAGAAGCATCTCATCTACTGTGCCCCCTCTTGTTTTGTTCTCAGATGTTTTGTTATATGCCTGTTTTTCTTTGGTTCGCCTTCTAATATCCTGGTATCTTCTTTTTACTTCATCCACTGTTCGCAAGGTTTCACCGACAGCGTTTACTTTATTACAGATTTGTTCACATATAGCGTTCCTCTGTGTGACAGTCACACTTCTTTGCTGTAGCTCACTTAAATGTTTGTTGGCTTCATCCACTAACACCTCCATTTCCATGGGGTCGAATTTCCTTTTGCGCTTTCTGCTGTCCAAACTCGCCATGCCGCAAACCACAAAACGCGCAAAACCATCATTTAAATAGGGCGTCTCCAACAGTTTTGCACCTGCCACCAGTTACGCAATCGCTCTTGTTAAATCACCCGCAAACCATGGTTCAGCCCCTCGCGCAAAATTCCAGTTTGCGAGCGCAAATTACTGCATGCAATATTGGATCTTGATAAATCCGGCCCACAATCTCCTAGAAATCTATTTTGGACAAAGACTGCTAAATAAAAAGTACCCAGACGGGCAGTAGTTTATCTGAACTACAGAAAAATAACATATTCTGGTTTGTTAGCACAGGGCAAAAACCCAGTATCTGATCTGTTATATTTTCCAGCAATAGAGAGAAATCTTTTGTGGATAGATTTTTTTGTTTTGTTTTTTTTTTTATTAACATTTAATTTTTTTTTATCTTTATTCTCAGGTGGTCTATTGGAAGTTCTTTTTCCAATACATGCTATAAAGTTCTAGATTTCTCATTATTTGTGGGTCAGATACAATTCAATTTAGAGACAGCACAAAGTGCTTGATCAGGTTAGAAATACTTGTTAAGCACTACACTCTAAATTGCCCTTTAGCTGGAGGGTCTGCTCCCCTTTTACTCTAATAAAAAGGTGTACTTAAAACATTCTGATGAAAACAACTCAAACTCAAAGAACATAAAAGAGAAAACAATCTTGAGTAAGAAATTAATTTACTATCTTACTTGTTTTGGGCTTTATTTGGATGAGTTTTTAAACTTTAATAGATGATGGGTTCTAGTGTGAGCTGCCAGAATTAATAAAGACTGGATAGGAGAACATCTGAAAGAAAGTTTGGTTTTTAAGCACATTTTGTGTTGAATAAACTTTGCTTAATATAGTTATTTAATCAAATGCGTTGTTTAATCACAGCAGGACTTTTATCAGAGAAGGAAGCAGGGAGAACAGATGGCTGCCGTCAGATGCTGGCTTGTTGCTTGGTGACTTTCATTATCATTTTGGTGTTAGGAGTCATACCCGCTGTGTTTTGTAAGTACTGTTTTATAGAGCAATATCAATTTATCTATGCCATCAATTAACTTTATAAGTTAGACTTAAGTCAGATTGATATTATTTTAAAAACAGATTTAGAACAAAATAAACGTTACATAAATGATGCAAAAAGAAGTTATAAAATGCTTTTATTTATTGAAATTTTTGGATAGACAATGACAGGAGGAGTCAATCTTTAATAAATTAGATTTCTATTAAAAGTATTTTTTTATTCTGGTTAAAGCAATAATAGACTTGGCGTTTTGCCAACAAGGTGTTAAAACTAATCTTGAAAAGTTAATAGGTTTTAACATTATCAAGCAAACATTATCAGTAAAACTACTTGATAAAAAATTTATTTATTGTGTAGAAGGTCTGAAGGATGGGGGGCGGGAGTGATGTTCTCTTCATACGACGCAGGAAGTGCAGGAGCTGCTGGCCCTTCTTCACCAGTGAGGAGATGTGGGATGACCAGCTGAGGTTGTCAGTGATGTGCACCCCCAGGAACTTGGTGCTACTGACAACATCCAAAGCTGAGTCGTTGATGAGGAGGGGTGTGTGGGTGGGTCTGGATTTCCTGAAGTTGATGATAATCTCTTTGGCCTTTTGGAGGTAAGGATCAGGTTGTTCCCTCTGCACCAGTCCACCAGATGCCGCACCTCCTCACTGTAGGCCGCCTCGTTGTTGTCCCGGATGAGGCTCACTACTGTGGTGTCATTCGCGTACTTCAGGATGTGATTGGACCTGAGGCATGGAAGACAGTCGTGGGTCATCAGGGTGAACAGCAGGGAGCTCAGGACACAGCCCTGGGGGGTGCCGGTGTTCAAGGTGATGACGTCGGAGGTGTTGTTCCCCACTCTGACAGCCTGGGTTCTGTCAGTGACAAAGTCCAGCAGCCAGAGGGGGGTGTTTATTCCTAAGGGGCCCAGTTTGCCTACCAGGTCCTGGGGGATGATCGTGTTGAATGCTGAGCTGATGTCCAGGAACAGCATCCGCACGTGGGTGTTCTTCTCCTCCAGGTGCTCCAGGCTCAGGTGGAGAGCAGTGGAGACTGCATCCTCCGCACTGTGCTTGGACTGGTATGCAAACTTGAACTGGTCGTGTGATGGGGGGAGCGTTGAGATAATGTGGTCCTTAACAAGTCTTTTTAAGCACTTCATGATGGAGGATGTGAGTGCGACGTGGCAGAAGTCGTTAAGGCACGTGATGGTGGTTGTCTTTTTGGACCGAAAAGACAGTGGCAGACTTGAAGCACCATGGGACAATGGCCTGGTCCAGGGACGTGTTGAAGATGTCTGTGAGCCCGTGGGTCAGCTGGTCCGAGCATTTGTTTTCAGCTGACCTGGAATGTTGTCAGGACCTCCAGCTTTCCGTGCGTTGACCTTCCTCGAAACTTTCTGCACTGCTGATGTTTCCAGTCTGAGCGCCTGTTCGTCTGGGTGTGGTGTCACTTTCCTAGCAGGGTTGGAATTCAGCTCCTCAAATCTTTCGGAGAAGTTGTTGAGCTCATTGAGGAAGTTCCCACGGCCCCTCATCCTGCCAGTGTTGTTCTGGCAGGATGAGGGTGTGGATTGTAGTCTATGACAGACTGAATGCCCTGCCACAGTTTCCTGGTGTCGTTGGAGTCTTGGAAGAGACATTGGATTTTCCAGCTGTAGGCCCGCTTGGCATCTCTGATGGCCCGCTTCAGGTTAGCCCTTGCAGACCTGAGAGCCGCAGCATCTCCAGATTTGAACGCAGCATTTTGTTCTCTCAGCTTCATTCGCACCTCCTTGGTCATTCAAAGGTTCTGGTTTGCCCGAGTGACTATTGTTTTTGTTGCCGTCTCATTATCCATGCACCAACTGATGTAGTCGGACACTGATGCAGCGTACTCCTCCACGTTGGTGCGCTGGTTGTCTCCTTGAAGATGCTCCATTCAGTGCACTCAAAACAGTCCTGCAGTGCAGACATCGCTACCTCAGGCCATACCCGCACCTTCTTCACTGCAGGTTTTTCTCTGATGAGCCGGGGCTGGTATGCAGGAATTAGCATGACAGAGAGATGGTCTGAGGAGCCCACGTGGGGGCGTAGGGCTGCTCTCTATGCCTTCGTTATGTTGGTGTAAACAGGGTCCAGCGTATTCTCCCCTCTTGTAGCAAAGTCCCTGTGTTGGTAAAAGTTTGGAAGCACGGTCGTCATGTTGGCCTGGTTGAAGTCTCCAGCAACAATAAAAACACCTTCCGGCTGTGTGGCTTGCATGTCTGTGATGTAGAGAACACTGAGGGCTTGCTTCGTGTTGGCGCTGGGTGGGATGTAAACAGCAACAATGGTGAGGCTGGTGAATTCACATGGCAGGTAAAAGGGTCGGTCTCTCACAGTCAGGAGTTCAATGTCTGCAGGGCAGTGACTGGAGACTGGAGAATGTTGTCAGCCCGTCCAGGCTAACTGCGCTGTCTGTGACCGATGCACTAAGCCATGTTTCGGTAAGGACAATGGCACAGCAGTTTCTTGGTTCAAGCTTTGAGTGTAGTTCCAGCTTGAGGTAGTCCATTTTATTTTCCAGGGAGCATATGTTGGCGAGCAGCAGTGAGGGAAGCGGCGATCTTGACGGGTTAGCTTTTAGCTTAGCTGTTAGTCCTCCACGGCAGCTGCGCATCTGCTTCCTTTCACACCGTCTCCGACGTCTCCGAAGGCTCCTGTGGTTGTGGGAGGGACCGCTGTTCCGCTGGCCGCTCAGTCCGCTTGGCGTAGCAGTCCGAGGCTAGCGAGTGCGTCTCTGTGCAGAGGAGGTCTTGAAGCCCAAATTTCCTGAGAATAATTAGAGTCTTACGGGTGTACACTGTTCCTACACTGTGACGCTGTGTTGTAGGTATGGGAATCGCTGTTTTAGCTGACGAAAGTAGGATCAGGTTTGTGATGCTAACCGGAGCCGAAGTAGTCGCAGCTGTGCAGGGTGCTGCCATCTTGTTTTATGAATGTTCAAGTTTTATCATTACATTCTGGAAATCTATGAACTTTATCACAGGTCATAACCAGTGATAACCTCTGCCTCATCACTAAATCAATTTCTCTGGATACCTAGCATCGGCTACCTTTCCTATTTGGGGTGTGTGGCCTGTGGCTCAGACAAGTAGGGTACTGGGGCTGATTTGGAGTGCGTTTGGGCACATGGAGTCAGGAGGCTTCCTGGTGAGGGATGCTGAGAGGGCTAGATGTAAGCCGGGTTCCTCCTGCAAAGGTGGGCATTGGGAACCCCAGGTAGGACCTCTGGAAGCTGGGTGCATGGTCTTTCAGGGTTCTGTGTCAGCACACATGGTTACCGGCCTGGCGGTGGTGTCTGAATTCCGTTGGGTGGCCTGCCCTTGGGTGGGATCCCTACTGTTGGTTGGGGGCTTGGTTATGCAACAATGTTAAGGGGTTGAGGTCTGCCCCCTGGTGCTTGGCGCCTTGCTCCCTTGGTGGAACGTGGAGAAGAGCGTGCCTATTGGGGCGAGTAGGGGAGCTGGCTCCCTGGAAGAACCCTGCTTCCCAGTACTTTGCTCCTCATCTTTGATGCTTCCCCCCAACTGATCTATCACACCACAATAAACATAGGATATTGGGGAGGAAATCATCACCATGGTGGGTCCCATGCTGGTGATGATGGCCTATGCCCCTTTTACATAACACATTAGTCAGCATCATTTATAAAATTTCCAAGACATACATATGTAGGGCATCAAGGTGGGCATATTTGGGGCACTGGAGACGGATCAGGCTTTCTGGCTTTGTTTCCGGTGTTCATGACCATTTGGGATGCATACATCCAGGCAGGAGGGGGGGCTGGCCTGGGGTCTTTAACACCTCTTTTGTCTCAGCTCCACTTGGGGATGGGTTGGACCCTTAGGGTTGGTCATGGCTTGGCTGCATTTACTGGCTCTCCTTGGGCTCTCCAGCCTTTGGCTCCCATCCTATGGCTTCAATGTCTGGTCCATCTGCTGGGATTGGGGATGCCGGTTCCTGGGACTGGGTGGGGGTCTGGGACATTGGAGGGTTTGGCCCCTCCAAGATACATCTTGGCCTGTGGTGTGGGTCTACCCTTACCCTGCATGCGGCCTATGCCTGCAGTCGGCAACCGTCAGTTGGGGAGGAATCTGGCCTAGAGGGGTCGAATACCTGGGTTTTGATTGCCTGGCAGCCATTGGTATAAGAGGCCCTTATGGATGTGGGAGCCAGAAACGGCTATAACAAGCTTCCCTTGAAAGGCCTATTGTCTTTTTATGTTGTTTATTTTCTAGACTGTTAACCATATAAGCATAACATTGTAATCTATGATTATTTTCTAAAATAAATTAGTTAAATAACTTTTCTTATTTTATATGATGTATAATCAGTCCATCTACTTCCAGCTTAAAAAATTTAGAGAACATTAAAATAATCAGTTTTCTGCAGATTGATTTATTCTTCTTACATTTGCACATCAAGTTATCAACTCAAATTATTTAGGTCAAAAACCTGTCGACAAAAGGATAACCGATAAAGATGAAGTGCTCCACTGCCATTACTGTGTTTGTTTGTTTTTGTTTTAGTTTACACTTATCTTATGAAAGAACTTCATCAAGTGGAAAAGAAAAACAATGAGTTGGAGGAAGAGAAGGAAACCCTGAACGAACAAATAGAAAAGCTGAAGGAAATTAACAATGAGCTTAATGTCAGCAGAGCTCAGTGGAGCATTGATGTATACTGTCCCAAAGAAACAAATGGTAAGAACAGATCTCCTGAAATTTAAAAGCAACAGACAATAATAGCATTTTGCAGCTAAACATGTTGTTTATCTCTTTTGTTTAAGGCAGAAAGTGTGACCCTTGTCAGAAAGGATGGCTTAAATTCCAAACCAACTGCTATGCATATAATGATGCAGTGGAAAAGGATCGAAAAAACTGGACTGAAGCACGAGAAAACTGTAGAGGAATGGTTTCAGATCTGACTGTTGTAGAAAATGATGTGGAAAAGGTTAAAAGCTTGTGTTAATTTTAACAATTTTTTATTAAGAAACTGTTAATCATACATGTACAGTTTTTAAATCCCTATCTTTATTATTGTCATGTGAAACATAGGGTGAGATAAACAACAACTTTAGTCCTGCTATAAAGGGCATTAAGGGATACTGGATTGGCCTGAGAGCTGTTCAAGGAAAATGGAAATGGATCAACGGGGCTGAACTGATCAATACGTAAGAGACACACACATTCTTATTCTATTCTTATTCACATTTGAATTGAGAAAGCTTCCTGGAGAGGTGGCGAAACGTTTTTGAATCTTGGAAACCAAGTCTAGTGGATTTTTTGAATATTTATGGAATCTTATTCTATAAATTCTATAGAATCAATTAATTTTATATCTAACTGATGTTTCTCTTCAGGGGCTGGATAAAACACAATGCAACTGATGGTCAGTGTGTGACTGTTCTCCAAGGCAGAGGATGGAGATCAGTTAGCTGTGATGAGAAGAACGCCTGGATCTGTGAGAAGAAGGCTTTAACTGTTAATTAGGTCACATTTAAAATACTAAAAGGCATTCAAATGTATATAAACATTAAAATTTGATTGCAAATAAAAGTAAAATATTGAGGGAAAAAAGTTGCTCTTTTTATGTTAGACTCAGTAAAAATATATACTTATCCACATTTACCAAGGCTTGATTTTTATTTTCTGTTGCTCTCCCAATTAAAAATATATGAAGTAGTATTTGAAAAGTCTGTATTTGCGACTATAGAATAAGAAATCATGCTTTAAGCAGTGCGCATCTTTAAAATATATCAAATCCTACATCTACTGCATATACTGAAAAAAAAAAACTACATTAATGTTCCAAAAGGGATGTTTTGTTGTGTCTCAGATCTCCTCTCTGTACTAACGTCTTCTGATTTCAAATGTCTGTCCGCACTTTTTTCCTCCCTTCTAAGGTTTATGTGCTAAAGTACCCGGTAACAATTATTAACATTTATACAAAAAGAGATGAGAAAAGACTCACTGAATTTTGATGTTTCTGTTGTAAAAGGCTAACTGATTTAAGTTCATTTCATTTATGTTAATTATCCAGAAAGAAAGATGTTATAATTGTATATATGTACATATATCCTCTACCAGAGTATCTTTCCTGTTCCTAGAACTGTTTGTATGTATATATATATATATATATATATATATATATATATATATATATATATATATATATATATATATATATATATATATATATATATATATATATATATATATATATATATATATATATATATATATATATATATATATATATATATGTATGTTTAAACTAAAATCTTAATATTAAAAATGCGAAGATATGGAGCTACTGGTTCTGTTAACATGATTAAGGAGCGAAAAAGACAGATATTTATTGTTAATATCTTACTAAACATTAACTAGTGTTTAGCTGATGTTAACCCTCTGAGGACGATGACGTTTTCCAGTAGCCTGGTCAGGTTGATGAAGATAGATTCTCAGTTCTGTGACCTTTTTGGCTTAGTTAGGCCTCTGTGTTATTTACAGACACACAATAGGCTCATTAAATTCTGGATTAATCCTGGTTTATTTTTTTCTTGAAAATTAAAAAAGAAGCACAACAAAATAAAAATAAAACTTCAATGGAGCAATCACGCTCCATTTCAGACAGCACCCAGCTGTATACCTGTATATGAGTATGTATATAGCAATAATAACAAAATAAAAAATAAATATAGAACTGTAGAAATGTATGAGTTGCTTTGCTTTGCAACATACATACATCCTATTATAATATTCCCTTATTCTTAAACCCATATAGAATATACATTACACTGAACCATTTGTTTGTTTTCAGCAAAAATGCATAACCGTAAAATGTTGTGAAATATTCAGTGAATTCAAGTTCATTAAAGTCAATTCTGTGCCTGCTCAACACATTTCCGCCCCAAGATGGCACCACTAAATCACGTCAGCGCCAATAGGCAAAAGCAATAGATGTGGGTTCTACTCATATATTACGTCTATGATGAGTCTGCCCACGTGTTCAGATCTGCTGGGGCCCCTGCCCCTTCTTATGATGTCATCATATGACAATTACAATTGGACAAACTGTAATGCATCCGTTTTAGAAGAATCAGACCTCTTATGAAGTCAGTATATTTGTTATTATTTTACATTTGAATGGTGATCTAAAGCAGCCGGAAGTAGAAAAAAACTCAGCTCAGATACATCATTAAGTAAACTCTATTGCGGCTGCGGATTGGGTTATACCTAAAAGAAACATTTAGTTTTAGGGATTATTGATTTAATTCAGTAACACAATCTGCAAGATGTTTTTAAGACAATTTGCTTTTATAAACCCAAATATCTTCTCAGTTGGTGAAGATTTAAATTTTTTTTTTTTTAAAGAGCTCCATCGTTTTCCTGTGATTAATGTATTATTCAAAGAGCTGTGACCTGGCAACTTTTTGATAAGAACTGACTACTTTTTCCCCCAAGACCGTTAACTTTAGAGGTAGGAAGAAAAATCATTCCATGTAAATGTCTGCAGCCAAAAAAATATATATATCTATAGGTGGAAGGCTTGCCTCAGAGGAAATAAAACTACACCCATCTGCTATGTTACTCAACCTAAGAGGTGTTCCGGTTTAAGTCAAGTCATTTTTCAAAGTAACACCATAGATGGCAGAGGAGGAAATGAATTATGCTTCTGTGGTGTTCAAAAGTAAGAAACCACAACAATCAAAATGTAAATTGTGACTTTTGTTCTTGACCATACATAAAAAAATATTCAAATGATAAAAATTCTGTCAGCTTCTGTGTTTATGAGGTAATCCTTATTTGCAATGTGGATAGATTTTACTAAAATCCTCTGAAAAGATTTTTTTTTTATATATTTTTTTATTTTATTTTTTATATTTTATTTTTATTTTTTATATATATATTTTTTTTATTTATCCATATTTTTATCCTAAGTGTATATATTAGTATATTTTTTGCATGCCTTATACCCCAGTGTTTTTAGAGATTTTTATAATTTTATTTATCTATTTCATATATGTTTCATGTTGCACGATTGTACCATAAAAAATTCCTAGTTGTGAACTCCTTCACTAATAATGGCAATAAACCCGATTCTGATTCTGAATAGTACTACAATAGTAGTGGTGAGGTAAGAAAATATAAAAAAACATGCTTATATAAATGCTGAAAAGCTAAGAATAGAGTAGATCAGTAACTTTATTAAGGAGTTGGAAATTTACCCAGTACAGACCCATTGGTTTGTTTAATGTGAGCTAAAAACCAGATCTCACAATTTAAAGAACAGTCTGTGTTCAAACAACATTTAGAGTTATTATTGGTTTTCTTATTTTTTTTTTTATCTGATGATCAGCCCATGACCGCAGTAAACATAATCTTACAATTTTACTCCTTATATCAAAATGTCTTTTCAGCCTGTAAATATATTATACCAGGATAGATATTCTGAGAAATACAAGGAATATACAGCTAGGAGTGGCGCTGGTGTAGATTCTCACACGACCAGCAAATGAAAATCCTAAGAGCTCAGGTCAAAGACTAATGGAGAACTTCTGTTGCTTCTCTTTCCCACTAGCAGGAAGAATCAAAAGTAAGACAGAAAGATGAGATTTATAAGTATTTATATTTTAATGATTTCAGCTGCAAAGGAGTAAAAAACTATTTATAATAAAGTAAATAATAAATACAGACCGCTCTGGACAGCTTATTTTACGTTTTCAAATAGACCATTTTGAGTAAATATCAGAGCTCAGAGGTAGAGAAAGGCAATGACAGAGGTGAAAATATTTTTTTTATTTGTGAATCTCATACACAGGATTCAGGACACATATGACTGTTACAAATGTTTATAATTTAAACTTTGCATAATATATGACCTTTAAGGCAAGCTATTTTTCCCTTGTTTATCTATTTATATATAATATAGTTTGCTAAATACATCTTCAGACACGTCATAGATTATTAGGAGTTTGTTCTGCATTTTAAAAGAAATTTAAGTGGGTAAAACAAATATGCTGTAGCTTCATTTTTGTGCAAAGGATTCCCCAAATTTTATGCACGTTTAGAAACAGGATTCAATCAAATTAGATTCTTTTCCTGAGTTCTATATAATATATTGGCCATGTGTTTGCAGCAGGGCATTATTGAAAAGAGCAGGACTTCCTGGATATACTTTTAAGGACATCAGTACCAAGAGCAATCTAAAAAAACAGACGTCAATATTATTTCAAATTCCTCCACTGTTGTTAAAATAAGTTGTTAAATTAAACTCTTAAATGCAAGTGATAAAAGGACTGTGTTAACTTTCTGTTGAGAACCTTAAATTAATAAAGAGAAAAACTATTCAAAAGTAAAGTAGATAAACTGAACAAACAACATGGAGTTAGCATCTGTGTCTACTACAATGGACTGACTAGCATTGTTTGCTCCCAGCTACTTCATGTCTGACCACATGATAGAGGCCATTTTGTGAGCTCTAACTCCTTTATTTCAGCTGGACCCACCGAACCAGACCTCCTGGGGCCAGCTAATCTAACACACTCTCTTTAAGCTCCATTACAGTTTAATGCATTTCTGAATCATTGTTAATTTTTCCCTGTAAAACTAAATGAAACGACTTCTTTTATTCATATTTATCTGCTTTTTTTTTTTTAAAGTTAACCTAAAATACAGTATGCCTTATAACCGGAACACTCCTCAGAGACTCTTGAGCAGACTTTTTAAATCCATTTTCCCCCTTTTATTTGTTTTATTTATTTGCTCTTATTTCAGTTGTGTTTGCATAATTATTATTATAAGGATTATAAGCTAATAAAGGCACCGTTGTATTTTAAATTAGGGTCTTTTGTGGTTATTTAATTCAGTAAATGGTTTATCTCTCATGTGAGAGTGTGTGCATGAATGGTCGTTTGTCTCTGTGTTGCCCTGCAATAGACTGGCAACCTGTGCAGGATGTACCCCGCCTCTCGCTCATACTGTAGACAGCTGGAGATAGGCATCAGCAAACCTCACAACCCCATAAACCATGACTGAAAACGGATGTGAATCATAGTTTAAATTATGTCTAAACTTAGTTTGTATTCTTTTTCATGGGGACGTGGCCAATCTGGGTAGTGGTGGCCTAGTTTTTTGAGAGAATGCTTTTTTTTTCTTTTATTTTGGGTCCCTGACCAAAGCCATGATCCCCAGGGCACCACAAGCCCAATGTAGGCAACGGTAGGCAATTTAATGCTTAAGGTCTGTTTTATGTATCTCTAGTTAACCAACTGGTTTTGACTGAAAACTTCAGTGAACATTGAAAACAGTATTGAGTTAAGAGTTTCAAAGCATTTCAAAACTCCACTAATGGAGGTTTGCTTTCATATCACAAAACCCACAGTCTGCCTTGTGGTCTGACTGCTGACTCATTTCTAGAGTGATCTGACATGACATTATTCCCCTTTATTCCTTCCCCATCAACACAAGTTTCTTTCCTGCATAAATTAGATTTTTAGGAAAAGTAAGAATGCACTGTGTGTTACTCAGTGACCACTCACTGATTCAGCAGCCTTCATTTAGAAATGTTTTTTAACTTTTCTGTTTCCAACTATATAAGGAGTTGCTTTTTGTCAAACTAGGTTGTTCTTCATTTTTCAGACGTCTATGTCTTTTAAAAGTTGCACCAAAGGCTGTTTGTAAAATTAGAGAGGTATTTTAAACGTGTGGGTTTGAGTTCCCAAAACCCATTCTTAAACAAGAATAGCACCACTTTAACATTTTTTTTTTTGGTAAAAAATAAAATGTGAAAAAAGGCACTGAGTAACAGATCAAAACATTTGATTTACTATTTAAAATTATGTACAAACAGAAATTTGTTTAGTGTCTGATACATTTTTAAAAATCATAATCTCATCCTAAAACGTAAAACTAGTCCTTGCCATAGTTAATATTTACATGCTAGAACAGCATTAAGTA